AGATTTTGAGGAGATTTTTTCTCCTGTGGTGAAAATGACCTCGGTCCGAACCGTGTTAGCCATGGAGGCTTCGATGGACCTCGAGGTAGAACAAATGGAAGTGAAGACGACATTTCTTCACGGTGATTTAGAAGAAGAAATATATATGGAGCAACCTGAAGGGTTCCGAGCTCCAGACCAAGAAGACTTGGTATGTCGGTTGAAGAAGAGCCTCTATGGCTTGAAGCAAGCACCTCGGCAGTGGTACAAGAAGTTTGAATCATTCATGACTGATCATAAGTTTGAGAAGACTGAAGCCGACCACTGCGTATTTGTGAAGAGGTATGAGGCCGGAGATTTTCTGATTTTGTTGTTATATGTTGACGACATACTTATTGTAGGGAAAGACAAATCGAGGATAGCCGCCCTGAAAAAGGCGTTGAGCTCGTCCTTCGCAATGAAGGACCTCGACCTTGCAAAGCAGATTCTCGGAATCAAGATCATCCGAGATATACAGAAGAAGCTACTGTGGCTGAGTCAAGAGAAATATATTGAGAAGATTCTGAAGAGATTCAGCATGGACAAAGCCAAAACAGTGAGCACCCCCCTAGCCGGACACATAAAGCTGAACCAGAAGTAATGTCCGAGATCTGATGAAGACAAAGATGAGATGATGAAGGCCCCTTACCAATCCGCCGTCGGAAGCTTGATGTATGCAATGGTTTGCACTAGACCCGACTTGGCGTATACTGTTGGAATGGTAAGCCGGTATTTGTCAAACCCTGGCAAAGAGCACTGGGAAGCAGTGAAGTGAATCTTCAAGTACCTCCGAGGTACGACCGACTTATGTCTCCGATTTGGAGAAGGCAAAGCCGAGTTGCAAGGCTACTCGGATTCTGATTTAGGGGAGACGCCGACTCGAGGAAGTCGACTACAGGATATTTGATGAGATTTGCCGGAGGAGCTGTCTCTTGGCAATCAAGACTACAGAAATGTGTTGCACTATCTATAATTGAGGCTGAGTACATTGCCGCTACTGAGGCAAGCAAAGAGATGTTGTGGATGAAGAAGTTCCTCATGGAACTCGGCCATGATCAAGACAAGTACGAGCTGGGTTGTGACAATCAAAGCGCAATCCATCTTGCAAAGAATTCAACATATCACCCCCGCACTAAGCATATTGATGTGAGGTATCACTGGATCCAGGATGTGGTGGAAGGTGGAGAGCTCAAACTCGTCAAGGTGCACACTGACCAAAATTGGTTCGACATGATGACAAAGCTGGTTCCAGCAAGAAAATTTGAAGACTGCTGTGAAGGAGCCGGGTTGATGCTGAAGCCGACGCATTGAAGTCGGAGGGGGAGATTTGTTGGGCTTCCTCCTTCAATGCTAAGCCCAAGCCCATTTGAGGGGTTTCCTAAAAACCCTAACCCTAATTTCAACCTCCTCTATATATACTCATTAGTTGTGGGTGGAGGCTAGGTCATATGAGAGAATTTTATTTGACAGATATTTGAGAGAAAATTGTTTGAGCAAAGCTTTATGCTTTGCATTTGAGAGATCTCCAGAGAGAGTTTGAGTGAAACATCTCTAGGGTAGTTTGATTATCACCATTGTTGGAGAGGTTGAGTTAACCACCGCATTGGTGTATTTGAATATTTGTAACCATTATATTCATAGTGGATTTTTGATCTGGACTAGGTCCCGTGGGTTTTTACTTCTTCGTTGAAGAAGGTTTTCCCACGTTAAATCTGGTTGTGTTCTTCTTCTTCTCTCTCTCTCCTGTTTTGTGATTTATCGTTTTGATTTTTTCCGCTGCGCTGCCCGACCTGGTGAAGTTCAGGCCGAGGTATTGCCGAGATCCGAGATCAGGATCTTGTTGATTGACTTCCGCACAAAGGCTGCTTAGCCGAGCTTGAGGGAACCGAGTTCCCAACACAAATAATTATTAAAATAATTAAAAATATAGTTTTAAACAATAAAACAGTAAAACGAAATGAATTGTCAACAAATAGAAGATTTTGAATATTTGTTGTTGTTTCAAGTTGTTGAAACTAGAATAACAAAGTGCCAATATGATAAAGACGAGACAACAGTGGAATCCGCAGAGAAATAGAAAAATCAGAAATTAAATAATAAATAAAATAAAAATTGTAACGCTCGCAAAGTTCCTCGCTATAGCGAGCAAGTGGGCGAGCAGCTCGCTAAGGTCTTTGCACAAGCGACCGATGGAGCGACCAACAAAAAGTGCTCGCTGAGCAGCTCGCTTCAGCGAGCTCCTCAGCGAGCGGGTCCAAATTTCAGAAGCCCAAATTTCACCCTTTAAATACAACGAGAAGGAAGCCGTGAAAAGGACTCGGGAACGGTATTAAGCATATGAGATAATTAATCGTGAACACAATGCTATGGTAAGAACAAAGAACAAACATACGGTATATGAAAAATACAGAAGAGGAATGAATGAAGTATATAGAATGGTGGAAGAAATCCGAGTCCACAAAAAGTGTCTTCTTAAGACAATTTGTCCCCCATTGATGCCGAAGGTTGATGGACACTTGTCTCACAGGATAAAACGAATTGCGTCTGAAGAATGATGGCACTATCAGTCAACACTCCGAACAAACACACCAGAATGCTAGAGAAATTACACCGGAACAAGGAAAGGAGAATGTAAAACCAGATGAAGGAAAAAATTCGACAGAATAACAATGTAGAAAATCGGATAATTTTTTGAATGTGTCAGGGTCTATATACAGACACTGACCAGTCACGATGAACCGTCGCCGGCGGCGAACCGCCGTGACTGACAGCTGGAACGGGCACAATCGGTGACCGGTTCGGTTAAATATTGAATGAACGCGTCAATTCAAACCAAAAAATAAGAACCGGTTCAAGTCAAAATGTAAAAAACTGGCGGGAAGAAACGTTTGGTTAAAGAATCTGGAGGGAATAGAGACAGAGGTATTTTTGGATAAAAAATTAATAAAATTATTTAATAAAAAATTATTTTTATTTCATACATACACATGACCGAACCGAGACGACCCGACAGCGGCACGCGCGCGTGTGGTGGACCGAATGCCACCTAGTTCCTCTCCCTTCCATAAAAGTGTAGTGTCCCAAGGAAAAATTTAGGAGTGAGGTGGAAGCTTATATACCTTCTCATCTTTTATTAGTTGTCCAATGTGTGACTCTTTAAAATTCACACATCCCTTCAACTTCTCTCTTTTCTTCTCTTACTTAACTCACTTCTTATTCATAACACATGATATATTTATGGGTTTTATTAATGTTATGTTACATAACTTAAGTTTTGTTTCTAACACACACAACAAAAGGGAGAGAGGAAGTAGAATGATAAAAGAGAAAGAAAAACATATAAATTTCATCTCTTTAATGTGTGTGTAGGAAAGTAAAGTTGTGTTATGTTCCATGATAAACATAAAACCCTATATTTATATATTCCAACAAACTACCATTTGAAGATGAATAGCCATTGAAATGAAAGGGTTTTTGATTGCTTAGTGACCAAGGCTATTCGGGTGGCTCAATAGTTTCCTACACCGAAAGAATTTAATGAGGTGTGACCGTGTGAGTTTATGCAACAAAGAAATTAATGGAATCAAAGTTATCCAATATAAGTTTTATCCATGGCTATTACGTGGCTAATGTGTACTAGCTCACGTGGCGTCTAGGCGCTTTATATTAATTCATGTGGCGTCTAACGTTTTTCTTAACACTAACAAGATGGAATTACATAAGCACATAATGGCAATGTTACAAGTTACTTCTCAAAAATTAGATAGGAGAGGAGAAGGGAGAAACTAGCCTCACTTGTAACAGGATGGTTAAGAAAAATGAACTTTTTATCATTAAAATTAAGGAAAAAGTGTGTATTATTTTAAAGGATGTAAAATTGTATCATTTTTTTTTTTTGATAACATAAAGTTGTATCATTTTAAGTGAGAGTAAAAAATAGATAAAAAAAAAGAGTGAATTGAGAAAAAAAATATAAAAATGTGGGTCTCCATCTCTTTATGAGAGTAAAATGACATAAATTATGTCATTTAAAAGGACAAATATTTTTCCTAAAATTAATGATTATCGATTATTAGCATTTTGGGGGTGGTGATGTTGCGACCCCTCCCCGCAATACTCCGTTTGTATTTTACTACGAACATTTACCACGATTTAACTATGGCTAAAACTACTAACTTTTTTATATTTTTTGGGATGCCACTATGTGGCACATTCTAATGTAGCAACTAGGGTTGTGATCCTTCCTCTGCATAACTTTGATTATTGGATTCTCTCTCCCATCGTATTTTTCTTTCCTCCTTCACTCCTTTTGATGTTATCCTTCTTTATTCTGGCATTTGGATTATGTGAAAATTCGAGGGAATAGAAAGAGTTGCGATTTTAAGACTTGTTTTAATTCGGTTTTAAAAAATATATATATTTTTAGAATCAAAACAGTTTTTTTTTTTAATTTCATAACATAAAAAACATGTTTGATAAAGATCATTTCATGTTATCATCTATAAAGAATCAGTTTAACTATGTAATCTAGCCCACTAGCTCAGCCCTTAATTATATAATATAGTTATATAAAGAATCATTTCAATTCAAAAGAAATAAAAAATAAATTAATAATTTTATATTATACTTATCTAATAATAACAGCATCTATTTGTCTGTTTGATGCAGTGTTTACAATTTTGTAATGCATTTGGTGGAATAAAAAAAGTACACTTTCCTTCTAAACTACACAGTTAACTCCCCAACCTCTTAACCTAATTGTTTATAGACGACTTTCACTTCAATTAGATAAATTTAAAAAAACGTTATAGTAACATTTTATTAAGTGATAAAATATGAAATTCATTATTTTTATTTTTATTATAAAATAAAAAATAAAAAACGTTATAGTAACGTGTAAAATATGAAATTAAGTGATAAATTTAAAACAGAATTCAGTGATACTCTCGAGTCACGAGAAAATCGAGTTTTCCCAATCTTTTATTTTTATTCCAAGACTGGATGATAAAAGGTCTCAATTGACACATTAAATGAGTTCACCCAACTATACCACGTAAAATTTTGGACATTCTTAGATTTCCTCGAGTCAAAATATTTTTGGGAAGAAAATAAAAAAGATAAATTAAGGAAACCATAGTCTTCATTTCTTCCATGGAGGTATACTAGAAGCAACATGGTCCTTTGATTTCCAAGATCATGGACTAAATGTTATCATCGTGATGACAGATGATGACAGCAGTACAAGCAAAACCCTGGACCTGGACCTGGACCTCGAGCCGGAGCTGGACTCGATGATAACACCATCCGTTTATTTGATGCAGTGTCTACAATTCTGTAATGCATTTGAAGAAACGAGAAGAGTACACTTTCCTTATAAAATTACACAGTCAACTCCCCAACCTCTGACCCTAATGGTTTAAAGACAGCTTCCGCTTCACTCGGATCAACATCCTCCAACGTTGATGGTTTCCACTTGGGGTTCTGCGGGGGAATAGTTATTGAATCTATTACTGAAGTAGGAATCAACATATACCAAATATTGACGGATAAATAACTTAGAGGTTAAAGAGGAAATATAAAAGGATGCATAGCACTAACAGTGTAGCACAGAAAGAACTGGATGCAAGATAGAACCAGATAAATACTTAAAACTGTAAATTCATATGCAGAAAATCCAGATATATGTGCTTTCAACTGAAGATTCTTGAGAATTTACCAAGCTTTGGAAGAAGGAAAGTATGAATATAAACACACAGGACAAGCACATTTTAGCATGATTTCAATTCACCAATAATATCTTAAAATACTACAAGGTAAAATATATAATAACTTTTAGTAAGACCCAACACATTTTCTGCAGACATGCGAATTGCACCTACACTTTCGAAGTTTAGCGAACAGTTAATATTACAGTTTGTCTACCAAATTAAAAAGGGATTAATATTTCTCCTGCAACATGACATAAACTTATCTCATACAACTCCAAAACGATGTCGTTTTGGGAGTTTGGGAAAAAATAAAAGGTATTTTAGTAAAATTACATGATTCAAAAGAAAAGTAAAATTACTAAAATACCCTTTGTTTTTTCCTAAACCCCCAAAACATCGTTTTGAGATTGCTGGAGATAAGTTTATCTCATGTTACAGGAGAAACATTTTTCCCGATTAAAAATATAAAAATCATGAGAAAAAGAGACAACCTGATCCTTGTCCACCAATACTGCTCGGACACCTTCTGCAAAATCATGTCGCAGTGAAGACCTCAAGGCAATGCGATACTCAGTTTTCATCACGCCACTAAGCTGAAATTTTCCCAAATGCAGTTGGAATATACACTAAATTAAATTTGCAAACATGGAAACTAACCCCCCAAAAAAGTGCTTACCGTGGATAATTCGCTGTCATTTTCCCCTAGTGCAGAAGCAACAGCGGAGAAGTGCTTTTTGGTCAAGAAAAGGGAAAAAGGTGCACCTTTTTCGAGGCCTTGGAGAGCTTCATTAGCCCACTCCACAACTAGAAATAGAAAGGAAAATTAATATTACACTGACTAGAAAAGTGAAATTATAATTTTGAAAATTAGTATTCAACGGAAACAACAATAAGTGCATCTGGACATTTCAGTAGAACGTTATAAAACAGTAGGTCGATGAGCATACCATTAGGGTCAGTGCTTGACTGGTGTTTTTTTAGCTCCTCAATGGTCTCAGTAACTGATATATTTCCTCCAAATGAAGAAATTATCTGGGGTAAAAGCAATTTTAACTGTGCCTCAGACTCAGGGTTGGACTCATATCTTGCTAAAAGTACTTTGATGTCCTGATGTGGATCCTGGGAACTATATAACCATTTGAGTTTTGTGTAAGATCATTATATTTTTGAAGATTGGTATGTATGCACTCATCACAGTTATATACTTTATAACTAAGCCAATAGATAATAATATATTATTTCAACAAACACAAGAAGACCATGACTGAAACGTGGCAGCGTAAGCAGTAGGACTTACATCTACACAAACATGCCCATGCATTATTATTATTTCATAGGTACAATTCGATCTGAACTGATTAAGTTAAAGGGGTGATAATGTTAAAGAAGTGTCTCAAAAGGCAAGAGTCATTCAAAGGTTCAGGTTGACATACAAGTTAGCTGCCAAAAGGGCCTCCTTAAATGAACCTAACTTTCCCGATGGCACATAATGTGTTCCAAGGCCAACAAATATTGCATCTGAAGGAGTAGAAATCCTCTTTCCAGTCAATCCAAGATAAGCACCTGCAATTAGTAAAGTTTTCAAAATAACATGTGATTCAGAGATTCCATAGAAAGCAAGTGGAGGAACCTTTCAACAATATTTACAAAAACTAGTAAGTTGTTTAACTGAAACCCGAGACCACATCTAGATGCTTAAGTGTAGCACACAACATGTATTCATTGGGCAAATTATAACATAATAGTGCACAAAAACAAAGAAGAGAAGGGTTGGTACTTTAACAACACTCAGATCCTTATTAGCTCGTCTAATAAAAGCAATAAAGAACTACGAATGCTGTATTATTAAAAAAAAATACCAACAGATCCTTCTCCTGGACTTTGAGCCGCTATATAAGAAAAACCTACATCTGGGAACAAGCCAATTCCATTTTCCGGCATTGCAAGAACAGTTCTCTGAAAATTTGCAAGAAAAGTAAAAGTCATAAACAGGATCTAGAATGGCAATTCTTAAGTTTATAATATATGTATACACACACACTTAAAATTAATGAGGCATCTATTACAAGGTGAGCATACCTCTGTTATGATGCGATAGCGGCCATGACCAGATAAGCCAATCCCAAAGCCCATCGTTATTCCATCCATGAAGCTAATATATGGCTTCTTGTATTCAGAAATTTTGCATATCAAAGAATACTCAGCCGTGAAGACCTAAAATGTGAAGCATAATAGGTACATTATTATTAGATAGTACAGCGAAAATGCAAGATGCAACAAAACACATAATCCAACATAATGCTGATAGCAATTAGCAAGAAGAAAAATGTAATCAAACTAACAAAAAAGAAAGAGTCTAAAATCAACCAAATTACATACATAACTCAATGAGAAGGGAAAAAAGGCTGTGTCAAAAGGGTAATCCTGTAAAAACAGAATTTGATACATTCCAACAGACAGGCATTAGTAGGACCTCCACTGGAAGCACCTTGTGGCCAGGGCCAAACCATCACCTGAGCAGGGATTAGTCCAACACCTTTAGGAGTGCCAATATGTTGTGGTCTTACCAAGAAAATGTTGCAGAGATGGCTTCTACAAGAACAGGGTATGCTTTATACGTCTAACTAGGTATTACCAATTATTTTTATAATGTTGGAGCTTTTTAAGCCATAAGTTCAGACACTAGAGCTAAGTTTGTCATGAATAATGTGGTCTACTAAAGTAGCAGTCCTGCAATAAATCCTCTAAAGTATACTAGAAGTAAAGGCATTATTGATTTACAAATGCAAAAGTTCCCAATAGGAAAATTATTCATTTTGTTTTGGCATTGCTTGAAAGGGTATGAATCTGATGGCATATAATTACAAAGGACACAACTAGACCTCAATCATATCCGATAGATTGTTTTTGATTGTTATCTGCTTCACATCACCACCTGCAGATAAACTAAGATCTTGGTTACCAAGTAAGAGTTTGTTGAGAATGGAGCAAAAAATTATAAGATGAAACAGAAACATCAAAACAGTAGTATAGCATCAAAAGAAGATGATGATGCAGACAAAAAAGCAAACAACATATCCAATAAGGCACATCACAACTGCAACCGGGTAAGCATGTATTAATACACTTGAGGTTAGAACAAAAAATATAATGAGACCTTCTGCACTAAAGGAGTGTTTTTGTCCTTTTGAATTTCAGCAACAACCCCTTTAATATCCATACCTGCATTGACCATCAATGGTGACTCTCAAAACCTTACCTAGCACTCAAAACCAAATAACCTCAAATCTAAAACAGAATATCTGCAAAAGAAGCTAATTTTTAATGTATAAAATTTATGCCAGAAACATGCTTCAATAAAATATTGCATCAAAAGAATAAGGAATTCTGTATTTCTCTCGATTACTCGATCATACCCGCACAAAAGGCACGAGGCGAGCTGCTATCAATCAGAACACATTTGATCCTCGGATCCAATTCCCATTCATCAAGATAACTTTTATACTTTACATCCATATCTGCACCATAAAGATTTCCAAGTCAAAATCAAGAGCAGAAACTGCCCAGAGAGAAATACTCGATTTCTTTTCTTCTTTTTTTAATCCTACATAACTCAGAACTGTAAAAAGAGAAATAATTAAAAAAAAAGAGATCACCAACCCTAGTTTATCTCATTCTATTTTCAACAATCAATATCCAGAATCATCATTCCCTTCAAATTTCAATAAAACAATCCAAATTTAGCATTCTCCCAGTTTTTCAGTGCCTTGTGACACTAATCCCAAATATTAATTTTCAGGTAAGCCAGAATCTCCACAATTATTGTGTACTGTTATTTATATATGTGAGTTCAACTAAACAGTCCAGAACCAAATCTTCCAACACAGTTGTCAACTTTAACATCATACAAAAATATAGGAAAAGAGCAAGAAAATTAAAATAAAAAACACAAAACCTAGGTTCATGGCGTTGAGAGCTTTGGGGCGATCGAGGGTGATGACAGCGACGCCGTTTGGATAAACGGTGCCCTTGACGAATTCTTCGGCCATGGCTGAAAATGATCGGAGAGAGAAGGAGGATTTGGAGAGAGAGAAAGTGAGTGAACTCAAAAAACGATGAGCTCCGACACTACCAAGTAGCATCGTTTTCTGTGTGAAATCAAAAATGTATGTTGCTACTTTATGCTTCCTACTCATCACATCACCTCGTGTTTCATGTCTGTTACTGTTTAACCACTCATTTCTCAGTTATTTACGAGACTGCCCACTTCTTTGCTTTGTTCTCAACAAGGTTAGATTAGTCAGCACGGTGCAAAATGCCAGATACCCGTATTTTATTTTATTTTTCCTTATTAGAGTTTTGTAAGATACACGAAACTTTTTTAACGATACAACTTGTAGTTAATTTTTCATTAAACTTTGCCGACAATATTATTTCTTGACATAACATTCTTTTTTTATTGACTAATGTTACAATATTTTTATGTATTTAACAATTCTTATATCAATTATTAATTTTTAATACGCGGAATAAACAATTAAGATTTGAGTCAAATTTATTATTCTTGCCCCATCAAATTTTAATATTATTGCAGCTAATTGTGTTCTAATTGATTCTAAGAGAATTAAAGTCAAAGTTTTGAAAAATTAAAAAAAAAAAAACACTAATCTTAATAACAACAAGATTTTAATGATTATAACAATTGTATTTGATAGAGATTTGATTTAAGTTTAATTAAGTTATCCTTGACAAATTAAAAGTGGAAATGAAATACTCTTACAGCTTAAGTTTTAAAACTTATTTTTAAAATTTATTGCGAAAGTGATGCGCTCAGATTGGGATTTATGGGAGGATTTGGGTATTGGCTAATGTCGTGACAGCAGCAATTTTACCGTACATAAATACAAAATTATCTACCCCACTTTCAACCGTATATTTATGAGTTGTGCTATTTTTCTTTTTTCTCATTATGCTAGAGAAGATATTTTTTTTATTGAAAAAAAAATTCTAAAATATAGTGAAAAAAAATTCTCGAATAAGTTACGAAAAAATATTAGGTTGGTCTAAATTTTTTTCAAAAATATTGGGTTAATTATATTAATTCCCAAGGAACATAAAAATACCATGTATCAAATAATATTTTCGTTTGAACTGTAGTTAAAACAGAAATGATGGAAAAAAAAAATTCAAAAATATTTTATTTTTCTCATGCCAAACTTTGAAAAAAAATTTGTCCCACTCTACTTTTCCAAAGATTTCTAAAACAACCTCTATACCAAACAGCAAACAGACCTTATAAGTGTAGATCTTATCATGCCTTTAATAGTTTAATGTATAAAATAACCGGCCAACCAAGTCAGAGTTTTAAGTCAAGCTTCGACCACTGCTTCTTTTTCTGTCTGAACTATCTACCTTAGTATAGTATCTGTATTACCAATGTCGTTAAAATTTTGGTCACTGCAACTAACTTCCACTTGCATATTGTGTGATTTGGGAACAATATTTGAGCTAGAAGCTCTTAAACAGAACATAATAAAATGAAGAATATATGTTACTATAATTTTTTTGAGTTTTACTTCTATCATATTATAGGAGAAAAATTATCTTATATTGTGAGATAAATTAAGTGGGACCCATCAATTTTTTTTTTTTAAAAAAAAAAGATACATATTTTTACGTGAGTGTAACATGAGATATGAATCTTAGCCATTAATGCTAATGAATAGTTTCCCAAATTTTTTTGGTGTAACTTGATAGTAGTGAAATTTTTAGCCATTAATGCTAATGAATTACATAATTAGCTTTAACCAAAACGTATTAAATGTCTGTTTGGATTCTCTTTTTCTTTTGACTTTTTTTTATTATTATAAATAGAAGTTAGGACAATTTGATTTTTACAAAAACTTTTATAATAAAAAAAACTTTTTTTATAATGAAAAAAACAGTCAAAAACTCTTAGAAAGAACTTTTTTTTAAGTTTTTATCAGCTTTTTTTGAAATGAGATTTGAGTTTTTAAATAACTTTTAAGTTAAAAATTTTATGTAAAAACCAAATAGCTTTTAACTTCTTCTTTTTTAAACTTTTTTTTTTAACTTCAACTTAAAAATAATTTTTAGCATAAAAAAAAATACAAACAAGCTCTAAGAGATGTACTGTCCCAGCGGGAGAGACATTAATGCATTGCTTTTTTATTTTTTAACTTTACTTTCCTGCAAGAGAATTGCTCGAACAAGGCACGGGGTATTAATAATATTATATACCCGAATAAAAAGAAAAGAAAAGAAATAATAGATAAACGAGTTCCTTCATTCTATATTACCAATGTCAATTTTTGTATTTGTCAAATCTGCAGAGGATGGTGGTGTTGTGTGCAGAGTTTTTCCTTATTAGCATGGAGAATTCCAAAGCTCTGCATTTTTTACCTTAGACACACTTTCCAACACTTCCAATGGAAGAATGTCGCCAATAACAACTACCATTTTGGTTTCCAGATCTACCTTGTACGAGCTCACTCCTGTTTAGAAGTAGAAAGAGGCAATTATTAGAAATAGATACTAAGCAAACAAAATAGTATCATATTCACATACTGATAAGTGAGTGAAAACAATAGTAATAGTAATTAATGTTTGACATTTTCACGGATGACTTGGCATTTGTCAGAAGTAATGCTAAAATAATTCATCTGCTCCTATGTGACTTGATATATTTACACACGATCGCGATTTGAAAAGTGAAAGGGAAGAGAAATTGATACAACAATTTTTTTTTATTCATCTTATATAGGCCATGTATAACTTGTTTGTACTATATTTTTACTCATCTACACAGTGGGAACTACCCCACCAATAAAATTTTTCATCTGAATCCGAAATATGAGATGAGACATAAAGTATGAGATGAGAGATACCCAACATGATGGACAGTTGGGCAGCCTCACTGATTTTATCTTACCATTCAAAAATAACCAATAGAATTTCGTTCAGCTTCTGATGAATTGTTGAAACTAGTAACAATCTGACCAGGCACAAACAGAGAAATTTAAAGGAAAATAAAGTGTAAATCTAACATGCCCTAATAGCAATGTAATATCGGGTCATTCAACTTAACTTGTTACGGTCTGGATTAAGCTATGAAAGCTATATTTTTATAATAAAAAAATTGCAATGTGCTCACCTTCCAATTTTGAGATATGTTTCTCAACTTTTCTTGCACAGCCATGGCAATGCATGGACACCCTCAATATCACTATCTGCATATTTGAGCAGAAGTAAGATATCAGATTAACTAATAACCCATACAAGCTATCTAATACCAAAACATGCTACTCGATTTTCTCTATTTATTTATTTTTTTGTCCTTGGATTGAGAAAAGAATGACTGGTGTTACTAAAGAAACTTCAAAGCAGACAAAAGAAGAAGAAAAGCCTCACCTTGGGTTTCAATTGAAAAGCCAATGTCTGCTTTCCAGCAACGACATCCTTCAGTTTTGGTTTATGATCACTGCCACTTGCAATCAAGGGCTTGTTCTCAAACTCATCTTCAGATTCCAAGGAATTTACACATAAGCAGGAGTTTGAAACAGAAGATAGACAGAACGTGTCCAACATCCTACCAAGTTTCCCCATTTCAACCTTTTTATTATCAATGCCACGTAGGCAAATCTGAGCTGAAAGAAGCTCTCTGCTCTCACAACTCTAACCTCTCGTTCAAGTCTCAACCAACTCTTAAGGAGGAAACAGAGAAGCTGAAAGGTCAAATTTTATTGGGGAAGCCAAAATCTGCACAGAACTCAAAGAAATTTATCCAGAATAATAATAGAAAATAAACCCAGTGCGATTAGAGTTTGTCATGTGATGAACCACTAAACAGTAACACTGACCAAACTAAAATCCACTAAAGACAGATATCAACCATAAGGGTCATATCATAATAGAAGAAACATAGCACGAGAAGTGTCTCATTGACTATTTTAGCTATTGATGAAACAAATACGTATTTAAAGAGAAGAAAAATGACTCATATGATAAAAGAGTAGAGGTAAGAAAAGGAAGAGACAGTGATCACACGGCAGGAAAGTTGGAATGACAAACTTTATTTGTCTAATGTGATGAGGCTTATCCCAAGCTGGAGGAAAAGAATATGTATATAGATCCATGTAGATAGGATACCTATAATGTCCAAATTAATGAAATATAAGCATCGTAAACAGGTTAATTATAAAGCAACAAAAGTAAGGCATATTTGGTAATACAACTGTGATGCAAATTGAAAAGAAAAGACAAAAGAAAATGGATGGCAATATTGCATAATCGGAACGCTTACAAGTTTTATGCATTATATTAGTTTCCTAAAGACGTTTATACATAATAAACTACCGTCATCTAGCAACAGTACACAATGCTTGATTGACATCATTCTTGAATTAAAAAATGTATAGAAACATTAAAAAGTAACTTATAAGCAACAGGTGACAAATCACACACTATATCATGCTTAACAGTCTAAACTATGCCATTAGTTGAAAAATTGAGACCTGAATGAAGCTGAATCTGTTGACGTCTTTGTCCATGCTTTGAATATAATAGTGCAAAATGGGACAGACTCTCTTGCATTATTGGACACTATGAGCTCAGAAGCGATGCCGAATTATTGAATCATTGAATAATGGTTTGGAATAAAGGTTCTTTTCTATCTACAGGTTGGTCCATGTGATAGTGGATCCTTTAAAAAATGGAGCAGAATGAGAAATTTGACAAAGCTAAGGGCAAAGACACTTCTCAGGAGCGTGTTAGACACATGAGCTAGAGCGGGGGAGTTTCTTGTGGTGCTTTTATATGAAGTTGGAAATATACACCAAACAGAAAAGAAAGGGAAGCCTCTTATCTACGAAGAACCGACACTTGACGTGTCGTGTCCGACACTTTTCGACATTTTCCGACACTTCAACACGCGTTATAGAAATTCAAAAAAGTCAAAGGTTGCGTTGCGTTGAGTTTTTAGTTCCAACTATTAGATTCGTTAGATTATAATTACTATTTGCAAAATTGACGAATATTATAAGTTTAATTTTATTTTGTTTTGTTAAATTATTGAATATTAAATATAATATACATTACATAAATTAAAAATATTATTTAATATCAAAACGTGTACTAACGTGTCAAAATCTAACATTTTTTAAAATTAACATGTGGAAATATCATATTATGTCACGTATCGATATGGTGTTAGATAACCTCTTACCGTTATATTACATGGAGGGGAAGCAATTGTGTATGCTATTACTTAAACTAATCTATTGTCGTACATTACCAGCATTTTGCTTGGAACGCCCCAGAATTACAAGGATAGTGTGTGATGTGAAATCCCGTAATTGGTTAACTAACAAAGGAATCTACCACCATACACCAGTCACCATAGCACATCCCATGATAAAAGGTTATATGAAAAACATGATTTTTGCATACTATATTTTAAAATAAACTTCACAATAATTTTATGATTTAATTATTGTGTAATATAATAAATTTATAGTGTGAACTACATGCAAAAACCAAATCACTTATATAAAACAAATTATATAAAAAAAGTGAACAAGGCATTTCTACATAAAAAAAATATCAATCCATAAGGATAAATTATCGTATTCGTTCTTATTCATTGTTTGATGAGTTAACATGATATAATAAAATTATTTATCCTACATATTTCACATATTATAATGTGAGCCAACATGCATGCTTGAAAAGAATTTCATTATCTTTTACATATTAACAAATCTTTAATTTTATTTAAATATTGTGTGCAGTGTGCTTTAAATGATTAAGAATTGTTTTTATTCATTAAATAAATCAATTTGAATTATAATTTAAATTAAATTATTTTGTATTACATGCGACAGTGAATTATTTTTTCTTGTTAATATTATTAAATTATTTTTGACGTGTTAAACACAAAAACTTTGACAAATAATTTAAATTTTATTAGTTGAAGATATAGTTTTGTGATTTTAGAAAATTTTGTAAGTTATTCAATATTTTAATATATTTTATTTATTTATTTCAAAAAATTAAAATAAAAACTAATGTATAAAAAAATAGTATAAAATAATTAAATTAAATCATTTAAAAAAATATGAAGTGCATTTAGATAAAACTTTGAAAAATATACGATAAGTTTGAGCATTAGAAAAACAAAACCACGAAGCAGATTTATCATCTCAAATATAAAGTGCATTTAGATAAACTTTGAAACAAAAAATTAGAGGCTATTTTTTTAAAAAATTTTAAGAAAAGCACTATATTATTTTTTCTGAATTTTTTTAAAAAAATTGTTCAATTGTTATAAATTTCTAAACGTATTTTATAATTAAAAAAAAAATTAAAGAAAAATTCAAACAAACGGACCAATAAATTAGTTTTAGGTTTTTATTAATCTCATATTAAAGGAGATAAGTTATCTCATGTTAAAGAAAATAAGTTATCTCATTTCATAGAGAAAAATTTGTGGACTCTACCACCTGAAAAAGAAAAAAAAGTGACATAGTTATCAAAGAGTGTGTAGGAGAAAAAATTATCTCATGTAGCATGAAAATAGTTTTTTCCTAGTAAAGGAATATGTATGCATGTTTGTGTTTACTTATTTTTATTTTTTTAAATATTAAATTGTTATAAAAAATTTAAGGTATTTTTTAATTAAAAAATAGTTTTTAAGAAAAACTCAAACATTTTAATGTTATTTTAATTTTTTAATTTATTTCTTAATACGTTAAGTAAATAAAATAAAATCATTAATTCAGTGAAATATTTTGAAAATTTTAACAAAAATATGTTAAGCCCTATGCGCTCCACAATCCTACCATTGACAAGATGGTAAAATCACCGCATGCTAGAGATAAAATTATTCATTAATCATCAACTGAAAGCTTAAGGTTTTAATATGTTGCACCTTGATCGTCTATATTCTTATCGAGAATAGATTATGTTATATATTATTTAACATGACTATATCATGTGAAAAAATTCTAATCATTCATAAGCAAATTAAAAATGATAGGAAATGAGAAAGAAACAAATATTAGAATACAAAATGACAAAATCATCACAATTAATTTATTCATAAATAATTAAGCTGCTCAATTATATTATATCCGCTGCTATTCCTAGCCTAATGCCTTATATTGTGTAATGAAATCGCATGTGAACTATCATGCAATTAAATAAACCAAGCATTGTAGTCTTTGTACATTGTCGATGTCCTGCTTCGGACATATCCATCTGGATTGTACGATTAGAATAATTCTCTCTCACTGGGCCACCGACTAAAACCGTCACTACACCCCACTTTCCGCCAATGGAGCGACATCATGGAAGATAAGCCGTGCTTCAGAGTGTGTTTGATACGGGAAAAATTTTTATTTGTTCCGAAATTTCGATTTTTAAAAATATAATTTTTACATTCAATTTACGATAATATCTGAACATTTAAAATTTAATTTTTCGGGAATCCAAAAAAAATTCGTGTACCAAATAGCCCCATTGTAAATGGCGACAGCACGTTAACTACGGATTAAAACGTAAAAGTGTACGTTTTGGCCACAAAATATTTGTGTCTACGAATTAATCTCAATGGCTCTGATTTGTAAACATGTCACTTTCCGCCAATGGAGCGACATCATGGAAGATAAGCCGTGCTTTATAGTAATTGTAAATGGCGACAGCACGTTAACTACGGATTAAAACGTAAAAAGGTACTTTTTGGCTACAAAATATTTGTGTCTACGAATTAATCTCAATGGCTCTGATTTGTAAGCATGTGACACCATTGATCTTTTTTGATCTAATAACTCTCAAATGAGATGTCAAATTTTAAATTTGACACTGGTGTCAAATGATCCTACCTCATATATATATATATATAGAGACAGAATATGTTTACAAACTTTTTTGAATATTTTTACAAATTACACTATCTTCTCCCGGGAGAACATAGTGTGGTTTGTATTCTCCGGGGAGAATATAGTGTAGTTTGTAAGAGTTTGTAAACAAAAAAGTTTGTAAATATAACCTGCCCCATATATATATATATATATATATATATATATATATATAAACAACACTTAAGAATTTAAAAAAAATCATTTTAACTACTTAGTTAATAACACCATTAATTTTTACCCAAAAAAAAAAAATAACACCATTAATTTGAATACACAATAATAGAACAAATTAAACAAAATCCAGCTAAAGTGTTTCAAAAGTAAAGGAATACTTATTTAAGGCGGTAATCATTTTTCATTTAAATTAACGGCATATATATATATATATATATATATATATATATATATATATATATATATATCCTTTGACATCGGTGTCAAATTTGAAATTTGACACCTCATCTATGTGCCGTTAGATAAAAAAAATCAACGACTCTGATTTGTAAGCATGTAACACCATTGATCTTTTTTGATCGAACGACTCTCAGATGAGGTGTCAAATTTGACACCGGTGTCAAAGGATTCTACCTCATATATATATATATATATGAAAAAATATTTCTCAAACTGCTTGAGATATATTTATCTTCGGTTACCCCAAAACTACGTCGTTTTGTTTATTTATTT